CCAGGGGGACAACCATATTTGTTTTGTTTGTTTGTTTTAAAGACTTCTGGGCAAAGCTCAGGTTCATGACAAAGCAGGGTTCAGATCTCACTGTCTGAATAAGAAATATTGACTTAAGTCCTGAAAGACACAAAGGTCACCCCAAAACAAGGGACTTTGGTTGAAAAGTAACAAGTCTCAGGATTTCTTCACTTCTCTTCAGTTCCTTTCCTCCTGCTATGGAAAAATGTCTCAGATTGCTCTGTGGGCCTTCCCCTCTCCCCCTCCCCACCGTTTTTTTTTCTTCAAGTACAGACACAGAAATTTCAGAGACAAAACAGCAATATGAGCAGAAAAGCCCAAGAAACCCTTATTGCCCATGTGGGCTCTATTTGGTCACCTGGGAATGATGAACATCAGCTTAAACCATAGTGTGTTTAATTATACTTTACTGAATGAACCATAACTGGCTGGGTACACACCTGGTAATCCATAATTCACATGCAATGCTAAACCAAAACTCAATCAACTATATTACAGCTTCGGGCGCTATTCAAAGCCAGCTAAACTCACTGCATTCCAGCTCAGAATATAATTTCACTCAGCTCAGTATTAATACTGTGAAAAACTCTCCAGGATTTCTGGCAGGGGTCTCTTCCATCAGCTGACTGAAATGGAAATCATCTGTGGGCAAACTGTATGCCTTGTGAAACACGTTTTTATAGTTTATTCACTCCACACAATGAACATGGAGTCACCTTTAATTTTATTTCCATAACAATAACCCTGAAGGGTAGGTTGGTCCAAAGAGATCCACAAAAATGTTATTGCTGATAAATACTTTGCTTCTATATTGTGGTTCCTCCTGGAAGAGCTGAAAGTGGTTTACAAGAAAGCAGTCAAAATGGTCATAAACCATCATATTTTTAATCCTAAAAAAAATAATAATACAAAAATTAAGCTTTATTTAAAAAGGAAAGTCTGGGCCTGGAATAGATTGTTCCTCAATCCAATGTCCAGCGGGAGAGGCACATCTTCACACATTGACCAACCATGACTGTATGGGGACACCAAACCTCCGATGGGAGACAATTCCAACATCTGGGTTCTGCTCCAAGACTTGATTCCTCACAATTGATCTGTGAGCTGAATTCCCTGGTGGGACCTCAAGCAGGACTTCCCTAGGTTATCTTCATGTATGGGTTGGGTTGTCCTTAGTTAACTCCTAAGTGATTAGGGTTTCATAGATGAACATCAATGTTAATTTTAGCCCAGTAGCTCCTCGGTCACCAGGGCAATATGTGTATGGTTGCATTTGTTTGCGCCATTCAGTAACAGCTAAAGTTCAGCAGTTGGAGCTTAGGACTGTCTTCAAGGTTAGTCTCATGTACAATAGATTACATTATACTGTGCATATCCAATTATAAATCCAATTGAGAAGTTATTAGGAAATGGGTCTCCAATGCTACCTTTCACTGCCCAGGTGGGTCACAGCTAGTGCTGTACCCGAAGCTGGGCACAGACCTTCCTTGCCTCTAAAGCCACCAATATCTCTGGTGACAGATGGGCATTAAGGAACCAAAGGTTTGCCATCTGTCCCTTCCAAGTGCTACCATGTCCGGAACAGCACCGTTCTTGGACCTGAAAGCTCTCCAGTCTTTTTTAGATTTAGCTTCATTTTGTTTGCCCTCATCCAGTACATTATTCTCTCCAAAGGATGGATTCTTAGATCCTTCCTTCCATTATATTTTTAATGATATTAGCATGTATAATTTTCTCCCCAAATAAGAAAATATCTGGTGCCCACAATGCCTTGAAAGTACTTGAGGGACCTATAATTTTCTTGAGGTGTGGAAAAGAACCAAAGATGCCATTTTCCAGGAACAGGCTCTGTATTAGCCATAGCACATTTCTCTGACGCGCTTGGCATACTTCTTACCTGAATCAAGAAGGCACAATGATGGTTACAATACATTTATCATGCCCATCGGGGTGGAAAGAGTTTGAAGCCCAGCTGTCTCGCCAACACCCAAGGCACTGTTGCACTGTTAGGGCTGTGCCATGGACTAGCAGACCCTGCCAGGTTTCTAATCAGTGTTGGCTTTTTAATTGCTCAAGAAGGTTGAGTATGCAGAGGTGTTTACATTAATGATAGCAAAATGGTTTTACAAAAGAATGTTTTCCCAGATTTTAACTGTGTGCTTTTTGCTTAAAAATCACAAAATGCATTAATTGTGGAGAGGGGAATCAGTTTTTAGGTGCCAGTAGGTTTTCCGGGGTGCTAGTTTAAAATAAATATGGAACAGCTAAATCTTGTGACTTGAGAGCCAGGAGGGTATTGTGGTTAAAGTGTTGAATTAGGACTAGGGAAAACTCCCTCCTCAGCCACAGATGATTAGTATGAAACGTGGGACCAGGCGCTGTCTCTTGGCTGAGCCTACCTCACAGAGCAGTTGTTGTTGTGGGGGGGGGACTGGAGGAGGGAGTGCTACATAGGCCACCTTGAGCTCCTGTGCAAAGGTAAGTTATAAATCTAGCACAAAGATAATAAATAAATGAAATTGGTTGTGGTTTAACATGCCGGGTGAACTCAGCTGTTATTGCATATTCAATAAATTCTGATTAAGCAACCAGAGTTTAGCACAAAATATAAACCAGGTCTCTGGTTTTGGTGGCACTCCCAAATAATACGCAGAGATTTTCAGCCTACGTTGGGCATAGACAACTTGAATTGTGGAACATTCCCCTTTGTCTAGGCAAGGCTCCCTGTTCTATCTGACTTTGTTTTGTAAAGATTCTTTTAATTAACAAATATGAAATGAGAAGCTGGTTCGCTGCAGAGCAAAGCAGCAGCTTCCACCATTATCTTAATTTGCAAAAATGCCTCTGGGCCTCATAGATGCTTATAGACATTCATAGAAAATAAAAATGGTGAGCAGATGCAGGTTTTTATCTGGAAGTGTGCCTATCTGCCCAGAAATAAAGTGCCACGGTTAAGTGGGGTGGAGAGTATCTTGGGATGCTAGATGGGTGAGGATGGAGAACAATTTCTCAGCTTCCCTCCTGGTAAAGACTGGTTTGTGACAGACCATGCCCACCCAAATGTCCATTCTGCAACACTTTCCCTGGCAGTTATTTTGTGAGAGGGCTCACAACCAGCTATCCAAATTCCAATATGCCCTTGGCGCCCCCCCCCCCCATTTGCCTGCTCCTGGCTGAAGTATGGAAGCCTATGCATCTACTTGGAGAAAAGTCCTGGTGCAACTTGGTGCCCGCCAACTCCACAGCCTGAGTTCAAGCTGAACACATCTGGAGACCATGGAGTACTGAGACCAGAATTGCTGGCTTTACTGGAAGGCAAACCTGGATAGACTGAGAGATATAGGACCATCTGCTTCAATGTCTAAATCCAGAACATGCCACTTTGCAGTTATGGATCCAGTCCCCTGAAGTGCACCTTGAATTGGCACCATGGAGTATTCATGGCCTTCTAACTCTGTATTGCTTGACTGCATCCTGGCCTGAAGGAGGACTAGATGCAGGGAAGGCAACCTGGAACTTCCAGGATCCCCCTGCAGCCGCCACCATGTTTCACCGAGGGCCTCTCCTTCCTTTTTTGTCTGACACTAGTGTTAAAAATCTCATATCCAAAAGGCTTTTGCCTGCTGTGGATATAACTGAGTGGTGCATTGTTGCAAGTGTTGGGATTACAGCGTGGCTATATACATTCATAGAGGTAACTGTCAATCATTGGTCAATATCCTTACCCCCAACCCTAACTCATTTGGTGGGCAAAAAAGGAACAAGAGCCCACTGAGAACCTCCGTACGATGGATTCACTCAGACGGTGGGCTAAATGTGGCCAGGGATCTATCATAAGCCTTTCTGAACTCCTGCGAAAAAGGGAGAATACAAAGCAAAAAAGAGGTTGCAGATGCAAAGCTCTGGTTTCACCAACCTGCTTTCCCAAATGGACGTTTTGAGAAGGGTTGGCAAGGCACACTGCAAAGGATGGTAGAAGAATTGTGGGTCTGTGGCAAGGAACAACCATCTATTAGACAGTCTACCTTCTCTGTGGCAGAGCCTGCCCTCTGGAATGAGGTTCCCCTTGAGATCCGGATGGCCCCCACTCTATTGGTGTATTCTCAACTGGACTACAAAGCTTTCCATTTTAAAACACAAAGCTGATTGTGAGACAGTCACTCACGCCCTGGTCGCCTCATGGCCTGACTACTGCAACACACTCTACAAGGGCTGCCCTTGAAGGCCGCTGGGAAGCTTCAACTAGTGCAAAATGCAGTGGCCCAGGCAGTGATGGACGTGCCTTGGCATGCCCACATAACCCCGCTGCTTTGAGAGCTGCACTGGTGGCTGTTTGCTTCCAGGTGCAATTCAAGGTGCTGGTGGCTACCTATAAAGCCTACGTGGCACAGGGCTGGGTTACTTGAGGGACTGGCCCTCTCCCACAGCATCTGCCCGGCTGATTCGATCTGGCAGTGTTGGCGTGCTCTGGGTTCCTTCAATTAACAATGTCATCGCTCGGGACCCCGGAAGTGTGCCTTCTCGGGAGCAATGCTTGCCCTCTGGAATGCGGTTCCCCCCAAGATCCAGATGATCCCCACCCTACTGGTGTTTTGGAGGGGCTTGAAGATCTGGCTCTTCTCCCAGGCCCTCAACGAGGGTGAGCGAAGCCCCCTTGGATTGCGCGGGTCTGTTTCTTTTTCCATTCCAATCCAGTTTCTGTCATCTTGCTAACTTTTATTCCTTGTTTTTGTTTCTTAAAGGTTTTTTTTTTATGTTTTCACTTGTGAGCAGCCCAGAGTCGTTGGGGATGGGGCAGCAGACAATGTAATTAATAAGAGTAATCTGAACGTGGGAGGAACGGGGTACAGAAGAAGTGGGGTGCTAAACCAAGAAGAGATGGATGGCTGACGTGCCATGAAGTCAGGGACCGCATAAATATTATTCTTCACGACCATCCGTCCCTCACCTGTTCTTTCGGGTCTCCCAGGTGCCCTCACCTTTGCCGTCGCCGGGCGCCTCCACCTTGCCGCCGGTCGTCCTCTTCTTGCCTTTCCCAGGATTATCTCTGGGGATGGTAAGACTTGCCTGGACAAAAACTGACTGATGGATCGATGGATCGATCCCTCGTGCGCCATCAAGTCGGTGGCGGCCCTCGGCGACCACGCAGGCCGGGCTTCCCCGCGAGGAGGGTCCCTCGGCTCGCGGAAGGGCG